ACAGGGACACTCTGTAGAGACAAATATTGCTCTCACATTTTGTAGTGAAGCAACACCTTTGGTCACCCATGTGGGAAGCATGACGTTCAAGCTCTGAGCAGCCCTCGAACTCAGGCAGCTGTGCCCTGTCTAGTGCCCGCCATCTGGATGGCACCATAGCTGGGGCTGAAAAGAACACTAGTGCTGACTGAGGCTGGTGGTGAGGAGCAGGGCCAGAAGGGCAGTGTGGGGTCCCTTAGGAAGTATTTTATAAGGATCAAGCACAGCATGGACAGAGGAATGTCCAGCTATAGGACCTGTTGCTGTGGCAGGACATGGGAACCCAGTGTGTGTGCGTCCCAACACCAGGCTGCTCTGAGCAGTTATGTGCAGGATCGGGCTGGACTTGAAAGAGGGCAAAGATGGTGGCAGTCCTGAGGGAACAGTGCAGGTGACAGGCCTTCCATGGGGGTGAAAACTGTTGAGCATCCACATTCTACTGTGATCTACAAATTATTACCCAGAGTTCACAAAGTGAATGAGGGTGGCCTCCCTGCTCTCACTGGAGAACTCTGTGACCCTGAACTTTATGATTAACAAATATCAAGGATCCAACCAGTTAGTTGTCAACTCAGGTCTTATTACCAGTTGTTAGGCAGACGCAGGCTACCTGTGCTGCATGTGACCAGAGGCTGATGCCCTTCCAGACACTCTTGGTTGTGCAGTAGCAGGTAAGACTGACAGCTCTGTGGGGAGGGTCTCAGCATGGGACTGGAGCCCTAGAACTGCCTGAGGGCTCAAGGATAAGGGTTTGCAGCAGTGGGTGGTTTTGTTTGTTGATATTTTTTAGCTCTGTAATCTAAAGTTGTACAATCCTTGGGAAGGAGATCTGCAGGAAAACACCTGGAAACACAATGCCTGTAATGCACAGTCCACAGGCAGTGACCTAATGGGTGCATGGGGTCCATCTGCAGCACTGGGCTTGTTTATGTACCCAGAGCTGCAGAAGGCTTCTAGTAGGGTGAGAAGGATGGAGTCAGGTGTTGCTGGACAGACCTTCTCCCAGTGTTTGTGTCTGCTTCCTGTCTGGTGACAGCAGAAAGATACACCCTTGAAGAGGGCCTAAATGTGTCTTGGGAGGTTGGGAGGCAGAAGGTCAGGGGACTTACATGGTTTCTCTCCTCTTCAGGACTCAGGGAAATTGCCAGGCAGGTATACCTGTCTCTCCCAGATCCATAGACTTGAGACCCAGAAATCTCCCATGGCTTCTTATCACATCCGCCAGTACCAGAACAGCGACCAGAAAGTTGTCCTGGATTTGTTCATAAGGGGCACTGAGGAGTACATCCCCACCACCTTCTGCCACCTGCTGACCCTGCCCCGGACCCTCCTTCTCTTACTTGCGATGCCGCTTGCTGTGGTCCTGGTATCTGGCTCCTGGCTGCTAGCTGCTATGAGCATCTTGTTTGTGCTCCTTCTGCTAAACTCCTTGCCAGACAGCCCTGGAAGGAGTATTTGGCCAAGTGTTTGCACACAGACATGGCTGACATCACCAAGTCCTACCTGAATGCACTTGGCTCTTTCTGGGTGGCTGAGTCTGCGGGAGAGGTGGTGGGCATCGTGGGCTGTCTACCAGTCAAGGATCCCCCATTAGGGAGGAAGCAGATGGAGCTCTTTCACTTATCTGTGTCACCACAGCACCGTGGACAGGGGATAGCCAAAGCACTGGTCAGAACTGTCCTCCAGTTTGCATGGAGCCAGGGTTACAGTGATGTCATCCTTGGGACTAGCTTCCTGCAGAAAGGTGCTATGGCCCTCTACCTGAGCATGGGGTTCAGGAGGACAGGGCAGTACTTCTTCAGTATGTTCTGGAAGTTAGTGGATAATCCAACAATTCTCTTCAGATATTCCTTCCCTTCTGTCTAGTAAGTGGGACTGAGACTTTAGCTCCTGTGCAGCAAACAGGCCCTGCTTCATGTTCTAGGAACCAGTGAACCCTGTCATGTCAGTGTAATGAACAATAAAAGCTCCTTGCTGGTGCACACCAGATTCTAATGCATGTGATTGCTGTTTTGGGGGTTTTGAGGTTCTGCTACTGATGGAGGAGTTACTTTCATTTAATACAGAAACTGCCTTGGCCCATTTGATAGGCCAACCCTTAGGTGGGTGGAGTAAACAGAACAGAATGCTGGGAGAAAGAAGCTGAGTCAGTCAGTCACCATGATTCTCCCACTCCAGACAGATACATGTTAAGATTTTCCCTAATAATCTCGTGGGCTACACAGATTATTAGTAATGGGTTAGATCAATATGTAAGAGCTAGTCAATAAGAGGCTAGAACTAATGGGCCAAGAAGTGTTTAAATGAATACATTTTCCGTGTAATTATTTTGGGTAAAGCTATCCGTGCAGGAGCCTGGCGGCCAGAACGTAGCCTGCCGCTCCATATCTTCAACATGCTACATTCTTGGTTTCTACGGTGCCTGTGTTTCATACACCTAGCCCCATATTAATGATGCATTATGGACAATGTAAAATACTAATGCTTGTATTTCACTTTTGAGTTTGTGGACCAGAAGTTTCCATGGGTTTGGAAGGGGCAGCTCACCTAGCCTCAGCACACATGTGGGAGTCTCTAAGTTGGCTGAAAGTGCCAGACATCTGTGTGCTGTCCTGTCCCAGCAGGTCAGCTGGGCAAGGTCAGGGGCTTGGCAAAGCAGGCATGCTAAGGCGAGGCAGAAACAAACGAAGGATTTCCAAGCACTGCAGGTGTCAGCTGAGGACATGCTAGACTCGAGGACAAATGGAGTCTGTGCTTACAAGATTTGCAGGGTCCCAGACCAGAAGCTGGGCATGGAACTGAGAGAAGACACAACAGATATTTTGTCATGGCAGGGTGAGAAGTTGGCTAGGACAGCTGAGGACTGCTTCTATGGGGGAAGACCGGGATGTAACTGACACCTCATGGTGGCCAGGCTTGTAGAGCTGTTGTGGGCAGTCTCACGGGGCAGCACCACTTTAGGGAGGCCAAGCATACAGCCCTGCATTTCCAAGCGGATATGGGGATGGAAGCACCCTACAGTGCACACTCCTGGAATCTAGGCTGGACCCAGTCAGAGTTCAAAGGCCCAGGGATTCCAGAGACTCAGGTGCCTGCTTGTACCATCTTACATCCCTGATACAGGCTGAGCTAGGATGTGGCTCTGAGTTTATACATGCAAGGCTATGGCTCTTTCAGCTAGTTCATCTGTAACACTGCAGTGTTAGAGATGTGGGTGGGGTATCTTGCCATGTTTCCCAGTCTCGGCTAGAGACTGCTGATCACAGAGGTCCTGGCACCCGTGAGCCAGTAAATTGTGTCACTGGGCAATACTGGCGCTGCTTTTTCATCCTGGCATTACTTCTGTTTTTTTCTTCAAGACATGGTTTCTCTGTAGCTTTGGGGCCTGTCCTGGAACTAGCTCTTGTAGATCAGGCTATCCTTGCACTCACAAAGATTTGCCTACCTCTGCCACCTGAGTGCTGGGATTAAAGGCATGTGCCACCACCATGTGGCTATGGCATTACGTCTGATACAACTTACCTTTCAAGGAGTAAGCCAAATACAGCATGTCCTGCCCCACTGATTAATCTTGTTATAGACAAATTTCAACTACACAAAGATCCCTTGCTACATCACTCCAAACACAGGTGACTTATTACTGGGGTTATATGCCTGTTTCTTGCTACATGGCTTTCCTTGACTCTGGCTTTGATGGTCACCACAGTAGAAATTCTGTCCATCCTCACCCTGGACAGCCTCCTTGGCTTCTGGGAGATCTTCTATATCACCCAACAATCACCAGTATCCACAAGAGGGGTCTGCACACCCCTGAGCTAAAATTCCAGTGCACAACCAATGTGGTCCCTTGTGAGCGCCCATGATGCAGGATGCTGAGACCATGCAGCATCTCTCAATCATAGCTTGAAGAGAATCAAGAATTCTTTCCTTTGACACTTGTTCTGCATCATCCTCTGCCCCCTGCCTCCAGCATAGTCATGTGCACTGGGAAGGGGATTCTGGGTATGGTATACCTAGAGAACAACCCAGAACCGCACCATGAGAGCGTTCCATGGCGATGTTCTGGAACTTCTGGCATTTCTCTGGCTGACCTCAAACTTGTGGCTTTCTCCTGACTCAGCCTCCTGAGTTCCTGGGATGGAGGATGGAGTCCCACACCAGGTTTAGAGGTAGAGATATTCTTACACATAAAATACCAAGGATCCAGAAGCTGAGAGGAGCCACGTGGACAAACCAGCAGTCCAAGGGGAGATGCAAACTGATGGATGACTCACTGAGCAAGAACCATGGACACTGTAGCCGTAATTAGGTGCTTACACTTTTTATTTCAATTGTATAAAAATAAATACATTCAAGTACAAACAGAAGACTAGAAGACAATGCCAAATACCACAACAGGAATTATCTCTAAGACGTGAAAAAAGGGGCTGATGTGGTTTCTTTTTCCCCTTTCAGTGATGAATATGTTAATTTCATAACCAGGAAAGAACAGCTAGTGGTTAACTCTGAGACCGTATCTTAGTATTTTGGGGCATCTTACAAAACATCCTTTGTTGACATCCTACAAATGATAGCATCCAATAACGTCCCAATGCTCTCTTCTTGTGGTGACAGTTTGTATGCCTGTAAAGTGAATGACAATCTGTGAGTGCTGGCATGTCCAGTCACTGTTATTACACACATTTATATGTGGCATTATCACTTTATTATGGCATTAATGATTTGAAATTACATATATGTTTAAAATNTCAAACTTGTGGCTTTCTCCTGACTCAGCCTCCTGAGTTCCTGGGATGGAGGATGGAGTCCCACACCAGGTTTAGAGGTAGAGAAATTCTTACACATAAAATACCAAGGATCCAGAAGCTGAGAGGAGCCACGTGGACAAACCAGCAGTCCAAGGGGAGATGCAAACTGATGGATGACTCACTGAGCAAGAACCATGGACACTGTAGCCGTAATTAGGTGCTTACACTTTTTATTTCAATTGTATAAAAATAAATACATTCAAGTACAAACAGAAGACTAGAAGACAATGCCAAATACCACAACAGGAATTATCTCTAAGACGTGAAAAAAGGGGCTGATGTGGTTTCTTTTTCCCCTTTCAGTGATGAATATGTTAATTTCATAACCAGGAAAGAACAGCTAGTGGTTAACTCTGAGACCGTATCTTAGTATTTTGGGGCATCTTACAAAACATCCTTTGTTGACATCCTACAAATGATAGCATCCAATAACGTCCCAATGCTCTCTTCTTGTGGTGACAGTTTGTATGCCTGTAAAGTGAATGACAATCTGTGAGTGCTGGCATGTCCAGTCACTGTTATTATACACATTTATATGTGGCATTATCACTTTATTATGGCATTAATGATTTGAAATTACATATATGTTTAAAATTTTCAAAATAGGTGGTAATTAGTCACTCATATCAAATATCCTTTTTAAAAGTTGTAGTTATTAATATAAAAAGCAAATCTCCTGAACACACAAATCACAATTCTATCAAAGAGCGCACACTGCGGTTTAACTTCATTGGGTCACTGCGTATTGGAAGAGATCCCTTTTCCCATAGTTCTCAGTGACTCCATTCTGAATTCGTTCCACAAACTTGTACATCCCAGTTCTTCTCATCCACAAATACTTTCCAAGGTCTGTAACGTTATTTTAGGATTTCTCAACCTCATTTTACTTGTAAGGGTGTTTTGCATGTATGTGAGTACTGCATGTGCAGTTCTCATGAAGGCCAGAAGATGGCATCAGATCCCCCGGAAATGGAGTTACAGAAGGTTATGAGCATGCTGGGAATCAGACCAATGCCCTTTGGATTAATGGCAAGTGGTCTTAACTGCTGAGTCTCCTCTCCAGTCCCACATTATTTCTTAGACGTTCAAAACGTAATGGGAATGAGAGGAAGCAGCGATGAGTAAATGCAATAATAGGATTTGTGAAAATGGAATGAACACCATTATTGCATGCTAACTAAAGAGTTAATAGTTCAAAATTCATAACAGTAATGAGCAACCAGCATCAGTGTAATTCATCTACTGAGCTCGTGAAAATGTGCACTACAAACCTTTCTGACTTCTGAGAGCTTTGTTATTTCTGGAAGGCTTTCCAAAGGCACCTGCTGACCTTCCACTTGAGATATTAGGTCTTGTTGGTGTATTTGTTTATCTCCCTCTTCAACGTAAACAATCAGAACCGAAGTGTCCCTTTCTGAGATACCAAATTTTTTCAAAGCCTCTGAAATCTATGATAAAACAAAAGAAAAAGAAAAGAAAGTGAAGCAGTGTCTTGTGTGTGGCCCAGTCCCCGCCTGCTCAGTCGGGGTTCCTCTTTTCAATGCACCCCTTGCCCTTCAACACTCCCTTCCAGCCCCTCCCATGGCTGTCCCTGTGCACAGCTGCACTTCGCTCCTCTGCACCAAGCCCTGACTTCTGGGCTATGCACATAACCACCTGTGCCCCGACCCCCAGGTGACCTTCCAGGTCATCATTTGTACTCCAACTGTCATTTCTCTCAGGGCAGCTCAACTTCTGTCGTATGCATCTGCTTCTCTGACTTCACCTGTCTCTCCTGCCCCTAGAGCTGTCCTGTGCAGGAATATGATGTCTTCATTTGTTTCCCGTGACTGTGTTCATGGTGACTCTGCTGCTGTGCTGACTGCATTTTATAAACTTTACAACCAACAGTGGTTTAATTCTGCCACAAGCTTCCTAACCTTCCCCTTGATAATATTAGCACGTGGTTCTTAGTAACAGCAGTAGTAAGACGGAAACTTCATCAGCAGAGTTCAAACATCTTTGTCATGTCACACACAGAATGTCAACACCTCGGGAACTTGCATTTGAACAGCACTCTTGGACTGGGGAGATGGCTCAGTGGGTAAAGCACTCACCACACAAGTGGGAGGATTGTGGTTCAAATCCCTAGCTCCCCTGTAAAGCCAGGCTCCACACTGACTGCAGCAGTAAGTGGCAGGCAGCCTCCACCTCTCTACATAACTACCCTGGACTGGTGCTAACATCTGTCTTGTAGGACTCTGACCCCGGAGCTACACTGCAGGAGGGGGACCTCCTACCATGACGAGGACAACAGAAATAAAGAGTCATCACTTTACGTTGTTATTAGGGGAGAGGTTGAAGATAATTTCAGTGGACAGAGTTCTTGTCTTCATTTTTCCCAGCTTGTGGAGATGAACAGCTTTGTTTGCTGCCACCAGTATCTGAAATGGATCGACAATCTACCAGAGAGAAAACAAGGATTAGCACAGAGAATCCGCAGCTTCCTGCACCATGTGTCCTGTCTGAGGAAACTCTAGTCCAGCCATTCAGTGATCACCATTCTTATGGTCTGTATTTAAAAAAGCTGTTGTAACACACACAAACACACAGACACACAGAGAAAGCTTGTGTGTAGCAGGAGCCCCAGCCAATCACCTTATTTGAAGGGCGGGTACCCTTTAGGCGAATGTTTACCTATAAATCTGGCGGGTGTGCTTCCCACCTTCCCTTTTTTATTTCCTGCTCGTCACTGGAACCCTGGTTTTGTAAGCTCTCCCCTTCTTCCCCTTAATAAAGCTGATATTAAAGCTAGCCTGGTTATTCCTATTTGCCGGTCGTTTACGCCCCTTCACTTGTGTAAAATACAAAACTTCAAAGCTGAAAGATTATTGAAGCCTAATACAGAACAGGCCCAATCCTAAACTTCACAGTATTCAATGAAATCAGTGTACTTGTGTAACAGATGAGGTCACCAAGGCAAAGATGCCTGGGGGTGGGTGCAGAGTCGTGGCTGGGTGAGGTGTTCAATCCCAGTCCTGTTGTTACCATGTGGGAATCAGGCAGTTGGTACCTGTCTTACATAGCAGAGGAAAACAATGCAGTTATCTCTGTGAAGGAAACTGACGATCATGTTAGGGTATGCACCACGGACACAACAGTGTACATCTTTACGTGCCAAACAAGGATGGCTGTGTCTTTCTCAGTCACAGTAGGAAGCTCCGGTCTTAATGTGTGCTTTTAACCACTCTGCCATTGTGCTGGTTGGAATGAGAATGGTTCCCGTAGGCTTCTATACTGGAATATTTGGTTCTCATTGGTGGATTGTTCAGGATGGACTGGGGGTGCACTGGCTAGTTTTATGTCAACCTGACACAAGCTGGAGTCACTGGAGAGGAGGGGGCCTCAATTGAGAAAATGTCTCAGTAAGATCAGGCTATTGGCAGATGTTTTCATAACTAGTTGTTGATGTCCAGCTCACGGTGGGTGGTAGCACCCCAGGGCAGGTGCTCCTGGGTTACATAAGAAAGCAGGCTGAGAAAGTCATGGGAAACCAGTGTTAAGCAGCACCCCTCCAAGGCCTCTGTGTCAGCTCCTGCCTCCAGGATCCAGCCCTTTGAGTTCCTGTCTGAAGTCCTTTGACAATGAACAGTAATGGAAATGTAAGTCAAATAAACCCTCTCCTCCCCATGCTGCTTTGGTCATGGTGTTTTATTGCAGCAGGTGTAACCTAACTAGGAAGAAGCTGGTAGCAGGATGGTGGAGTTTGCTGCCACAGACCTGACCGTGTTGTTGTGGGGAGGATTGGACAAAGACTTTCTAACTGTGGCCTAGAAAATCCACCAAGAGGTAAAAGCTCATTGCGCTGTTCTGTGGGATCTTAGGAGAGAAGTTGAGAGCAATACAGATGATGGAGGCCCGGCTTGTGAAGTTTCAGAGGAAGCAATGGCTCTACAGGTCCTTCTGCATGGAAACTCTGTGGTATCTGGAAGCTGGGACTGAGGAGTCAGCCGTGATTAAGAGATCAGCACTACTAAAGAAACCTCTGAGGCACTGGGACGATGGATGCTGGTTGGCTGGAAAGGAGAAATTCGCAGTGATTAAGAAGAGACCAGTATTACTGAGCCCTTCAGACTCTATGTTTTAAACTTAAAACACCAAGTGTGACTAGAGCCAATATTTTCTACCTCAATATAAGAGAAATTTAAGGTAAAATTACATATTCTTAAATGCCTGGCATGGTTAATTCATTCTCATATTTTGTACTTACCACATGAGGGTTTATCAATGAGCCACTGAGAGATCCTTCCATGGCCTTTTTTCTCAAGTCCCCTGCATTTTTTACATCTTTAAATAACAGAAGGGTCACTCTGCATTCAGTAAACAGGTCCAACTGCTGAGATAACTGCATTTCCTAGACAACGAGGACGCTACTGGACAAAAGGAAAAGACCACAGCAGGTTGTTACATGTCGAAGATAGCATCCATCCTCCACACTGGTTTCCTCTCTGCTTCTCTCTCCTGACAGTCTCGCCTTCCTAGACTTGCTCTGTACCTCCATCTCCTGCCCCCATTCCCCAGAATCTAGAAATGCTTGTGAAAATACACTCATCTGTAACCAACTTAACAAAATCCTTGCACTCTACTTTGCTGATTCTGTCCCAGCTTCATTTCTGCTGCCGTCATGAAACATTCTGACCAGAAGCGGCTGAGGTAGGAAAGGATTTATTGGGCTTACACGTCCAGGAACCCAAAGGCAGACACCAGAGGAACACTGCTGGTGACTCAGTCACCAGCTTCTGCTTAGTTAGCGGTTTTAATGCAGTCCAGGACCTCGTGCCCGGGGATTGTGCTGCCCTCAGTGGGCTAGGCCCTTCTACATCACAAGAGTCAAGGCAGTCCATCATGACAGGTCATCAGACCAGTGTGAGCTGCACAATCCCTCAGCTGAGACTTCCTTCTCAGGTGACCCTGAAGGCTATTCTCAAGCTGGCGGTTAGAGTAACAAGATAATCTTATAAACTACACAACTGTTAACATAAAAAAGTCCACATCACTGGCATCTTCATAACCTGTGTTCCTAAGTGTGCTGAGCTTTTTCCAGTTCTTCCGTTCCTGTGAAAAGCCAAGGGAAGTGGATGGTGTTCTATCTGGAAAGATGGGCAGCTTCTATGCATGGGCAAGCAGCTAATGCCCAGGCGTACCCCAGGTGTAGGATGCCAGAAAATGATGGCTCTCTGATTACCCCCAGCATCATGAAGAGCATAATTTACTGCATCTTTCCTAAATTCCTAATCTCTTTCATTTACACCTTAGCAAAACCTGGCCACAAATAGAAGAAATTAAGTTATAATGCTCAAGTCACATACTTTACCCAATGATACAGTTACAATACTCCATGTTAGACTATGAGCTAATTCTCACCAGGTACACTGGCTCACACCTGCTATCTCAGATGACGAGCAGGGTGTAAAAACAGCACAGGGTGTACTCGGTGTGAGGGCTCAGCGGCTGTGAGTGATGTCCTGGGTATGACAGATATGCCACACTTACACAAAGCAGATTCTAAAAACACTATCAACCATCACTCTTTTTAAAGGAGATTGCGGGTAGGGCTTTATGAAGGCTAAGCATGCTCTCCTACTGAGCTCCAGCACTACCGTTTAGCCGATTCTTTGGTGGGCCAATTTGCTAGGCTCTATTCATCCCTTATTTCTGGAGGATCCAGTTTTAGTTTTCTTCCTTAAGGAACTAAATGGAAGTCTGAGGATGATAAAATGTCCTTCTATTACCTTGAAAGATTTGAGAACAACTTATCCAGCCAATGGCAAGGTTTGGTGCGGCTAAATAGCCATTAAAAGCTGTCATTTTGGCAGGGGAAATGTCTTCGTGATCAAGCACCTGCCGAGCATGGATCAGGCCATGCTCAATCTTCAACACAACAGCCCCAGCCTTCAAACAAAACAAAACCAATGCTGTGGTGTTAACCAGACATACCAGGAATAACATTAAGCAAAACCACAGGGAAAAAAAAGGCTAAATGTGTCATTTTAATATTTGTTCTTCTCATTTTCCGAGCCAGGCTGGCCTGGAGCTCTCAATCCCCTGCTTTTCTGACACTAGCAGTGGGCCACAGACTTGGTCCACCACGCGCAGCCTATGCTCCATCTAACCGGAGTTTTTGTAAAAGGTCCTTATGGGCTGGAGAGATGGCTGAGCAGTTATGGGCACTTGCTGTTCGTGCAGAGCACGGGAGTTTGGTTCACAACAGATATCAGGTGGCTCACAACCACTTGTAACTCCAGCTCCTAGGGCACCTACAAATGTTCACATACATATGTAGATACACATATACATTGAATATAAAAATCTTAAAGTAATTAAAAATCTGCTTACAGAGAAAAGACCCTGAAGAGAGGGCCTAGGACACGGTTCAGTTGGTAGAGGAATGGACTAGCATGCGCAGAGCCGTGGGTTCAATCCCCAGCACTGTGTAAAACCAGTGTGATGTGCACCTACAACCCAGCCCCTAGGCAGTCAGAAGAGGGGTCAGAAGTTCAAGGTTGGAGGAAGTGGGGAGTTCTTTTCAAGACTGTAAAGAAAACTAATGTGTTTTTGCCCTTCTCTTGAATATTTGTAGGTAGACAAAGTACTCTAAGCCCAAACTGCCCTCTCCACCAACCATGCCAGTCTACCTACTGCACAGAGGCTTCTGCTCCTGTCATTCAGAAACTAAAAATTTTGTCTTAACCATATCCAGAGTGCTTCCAAATACATGCAACTGAGTTTATAGGAAGAGGAATTACGTATAATTCTGACCTTGGTTCCTGGAGCACAAGAAAGAGGCAGTTGGTGGTAAGACCTTCCATGTGAACTCGGCAGTGGCACCTCTATAAGGTACTGGTGTTGGAATTTGTGAGCAGGAATTAAATGAGGGGACCCTGAAGTCATTTTGTGTAAGGGTCAGGATGGAAAAAATGGGCTCAGACTGAAATCAAACGATGATGGTCTATCTGATCAGTTAGTCAGGCTAACTCTTCGCTGGTTGGTGTGAGATTTGGAAAAGGAGCGACCAGATGAATGGTGAAAACTTCTTATCAAAGCTTCTTCTGGAGCTCTGATAAGGTACACAAGGTGCTCACAACAGGCTTTGCAAAGATCAATAAGATGCTCGCTGGAGACAGACCCTTCAAACAGACACTCATCGTGCCTAAGAATAGCAGTGGACGTGTTCATTTATCTTTAAAAGCATAAGAAAGCATTCTCAGTGAAAAACAGTACTCTGGACAGTCTTTCTCACTCAACACAACCTCTGTGAAATCAATGGACCAGAGCACCAGTGGCCTGGAGGATGGGCAGACATACTGCCAACACCTGGAACTGCAGTTACCATTACTCCTATGCCTACTTTTATCTCTGCAAATTATTAAGCCTGATGAAGACCTACCCCCGAGGCTCCGATATCAGGCACAGGCAAACAGCTGGACTCTGCGCCTGAAGCTCCTGCAGAGAGGGAGCATGACTGGAGGAGGCCTGTTCATCGTCTCCAGATTCCAGGATGTAGCCTCGGCCTGGTGTAACAGATGTAAAACTATCAAAGCCTTACTGACTTTTCTAGAATAGCTTCTCTCCTGGAATCCTGATGCCTTAGCATCCTGACATGCATGGCTGACAATGCTGATTGTGTACAGAACAGTCATCCCTCCTTCCTCCCCCCTCGCCCCCCACTCAGCCACAGGTAAACCATAGTGTTCTTTATGTTTCTTTGACATTTGTAATACATTACCATAGTGTACTTAGGATAGACTGCCTTTGAGAGTTGGGGTTTTGTTTTTGTTTTCTTGGCTGATTGTGTAAAATGCCAATTAATCAATACTGGTTCATTTTGTATAAGTATTATTTCAAGAATTACCATGATTATCATTAAAATTCAACTATCTTCACTTATGTGTATCAACTGTTGTCTTAACTATGGTGAGCATCAGCAAGGCATGTTGGCGCACGCCTTTAACCCCAGCACTCAGGAGGCAGAGGCAGATGGATCTGTGTGGGTTTGAGATCAGCCTGGTCTACAGAGTTCCAGGACAGTCAGCACTACACGGTGAGACCATGTTTCAAAAACAAAAACAAAACTATAGTGAGCGTCTAGAATAAAACCCAAAATATAAATACGGCTGCCATTAAAAAACATGAAACATGGCTCAGCAAGCAAATCTAGGCTCACAACTAAAACAAAAAAACCTAAAAATCAGTTGTGTATTACACTGGACAGCACACTTCCTGAAGCAGCTTACTGGTGCTGAGCACAGCACAGCTAGTTAACAGTACTTGACAGTTTCTAGTATTTGCTAACAGAAACCACTTCTAAAAGTTACCCTGTCACTTTCTGAAAAGCAAACAACCATATATATTGAATGCAAAACTTCTTAAACTAAACACAATTTTGCACTATTACACGCGCAGATTAAGTGGGTCATAGTTAACTTTGGCACCCGATTCCTAATACCATGTCCCTAGTTACTTTGGGGGCAGTCCTGGAATGTCCTCCTCAACATCCCAGTTTGTTCCAGTTTCTGACTCCTTCCTCCCTGCAAACAAAATGGCACCAGCCCTTCCTCCTGATTGTTTTCCTTGTTTACACCCATCCTATTTTATCCCATTAGATGTGCATCAAGTTATACTCTCATCTGAAAAAATATTAAAGTCACACTCAACTACAAAGCTCCAAGCAGTTCCAGGCTGGCTTGAGATTCAGGAGATCCGGCCTCAGAAAACAAAGCAAAAATACAGGGCCAGAGAGTTGGTTCAGCCATTAAGAGCATCTGCTGCTCCTGATGCTTTTGTGAAGACGTCAAGGGTTTGATTCCCATCACTCATGTGGTGGTTCACAACCATCTGTAACTCCAGTCCCAACCAATGTCCTCTTCTGACCACCATTGGTTCCAGACACACAGTACACATACATATATGCAGGCAAAACATCCATATATATATATAATATTTAAAAACCACAAAACATAAACACAATAGAAAGTTATTTCTGTTTTTCTAGAATTATGTCTGAGGATTTCTGTTATAAAAAAGCAGAGTTTTGTGAATAATGTCCTGAGAGTTTTTTCCATGTTGGCATCAAATTAAGGAAGGATATGGTACGATATGATCAGTATGATCTGTCATGCAAAAACATGAACAGAAAAACTGCAGGAAACAACAAAACATAGACATCTTGAGTACTGAAATTATTAGGTGATTTTTATTGTGCTCTTAAAATATTACGTTGTACATGTTATGAACTTTCTACAGTCATCAAACAAAACCTAAGTACGTATAATCAGGGGAAAAATGATGTTCCCTGTTTAAATATCCATTTCACAAAACCGTTTATCTTGAGTGTTTGCCTGCACATATGTCTGTATATTGGATTCTTGCCTGGTACCTGTGGCAGCCAGAGGAAAGGATTCAATGCAACTAGAGTAATAGACTTTTGTGAACTGCAATGTGGGCATTGGGAATCAAACCCTGGCCTGATTTCTCACAGTATGGGAGAAGAACTCAGAATAGTCTGTTCTGGTTTAGTGTAAGAGTCACTTAGGTCAGAAACATGGAATCATCATTTAATATTCATCTGGTTTGACGCCTGTAAAATTAATATTGAAATTAGCTCCCAATAAGAGAGCTTAAAAAGTGGGGCTACGTGGAGACTTCAGAAGATGTCAAAAATCATTAATCCTATCTACTCATGAATATAAAGTTAATGATTTATCTCCAGAGCAATTAGAACTTTGCACTCAAAAATTAACCAGTAATATTATTATCAAAATAAAAGTTTATATCTCCAGAGCGATTCTATTTTATATGCAAGTTTTCCTAGCCTTCTAACCTGCTCCCTGACTAGGAGGCAGGCAGATCTCTGAGTTCCAGGCCAGCTTGGTCTACAGACTTAAGTTCCAGAACTGTCTTGGTTACACAGAGAGACCCTGCCCCCAAAAACAAAACGAACAACAAAACACCTCACCCCATGAGGTATTAGCAAAATTGTAGTATTAGCAACAGAACGTAGTTCAATGCAAATGCCTCAAACTGTTACACAAGGTCGAGTGCCCTGTCCTGACTCTACCTCCAAACAGAATTCTGACTCACCCCATCAACAGCACCCCAAGAGCGTTCTCATCAAGGGGCCTGCGCACCAGTAATGAAATCCTAGCCTATCAGGATGGTCACGGGGTCCTTCAGGAGTCATCAAAGCTGAAGCAAAAGCCCTAACTTTATGGCACGGGTTTCCACAAGTAGCTTCTGGACCTTGCTTGACTCCTTCCCCTCCCGATGTCCTGCCACTCTTTTCAGAGGCCAGATTTCCCAACGGGGTGTCCCCGTCCCCGGGTCTTCCTTCCTCGGTCCCTCCCGCCAAGGTCCCTGTCCAGGGCACCACCGGGCAGTTCTACCACGAGCCTCCCTCCCACTCCAGTGCGTGGGCCTCCCCGGGGCTTCTCCTGCAACAGCCTCGGACACCGCCGGTAGGGGGCGCCCAGGAGCGAGGAACCCAGCGGCCTTCCCGCACGACCGACGATTCTGAAGTTAATTGCTCTCCACCCGAGGCCTGGGGGGAGGGGGAGGAAGGGCTCGCGACAAACACTGGCGACAGGAGATTGACACAAGGTCAACAAAACTGTGACGGCGGAGAAAGAGCTGCCATTCGCGCAGGCGGAACTCACCATCAGTCTTCAGTCCGTACAGGAAGACCGTCCCCTCGGAAACAAAGCTCGCCACTCCGGACAGTTCCTAATAGGCTTTCCGGTAAATAGGTTCCGAGCCACCCTGTTTCCGGATCCTGGTGGGCGTAGTCAGCCTAAATCTGTATGAATTGCTGTGAACTTTCCCCACCACTTGCCACTACTTGCCGACGCCGAGGAGAATTGGTTCTCTTCCGTCCCCTTGTCGGGAGTTACAAAGGATCTAGAAGTTGAGGTATGGCGTTGAGTGTCGGCTTTATTCTCAGCTTGTGTTTAACGTCCTCAAGTTCTTCATGTGAACTGAAAATTATCCACCAGGACGAGAGTCACAGCTTTTCAGAGATTTTGAGGCTCAGTTTACTGAATGTAGTCTCGGTAGGAAGCGGAGATGCAATGCGGTGGAGTCTCTCATTGAAGGAGCTAGCTCCTCTCGTGCTCGGGGTCTGGCAGAGGAAAGAGGCATATCTTTTGAGCAGACCTGAGGCTAGTGAGGCTTCTTTGAAAGGATGCTGGGGTCAAGATCCCGGGAGCCACCTGCCTTAGGCAATTTTTGCAAGACCAGAGCACTCCTACTCTTGGGGAAGGATGACCGCGAAGGGTCGTGAAACCTGATTTTGCTTCGTGCTACCTGCCGTAGAACCTAATAAATAGAGAAAGGATTGCATTTTAACATTACGGCTTATCCAGAGATCCTGCAGTCTGCGGAGAGAGCAGATTATCTATCCTAAACACATGTATTCCACCATCCTCAACCAGCAGATTATAAAGACAGGAAATAGAGCTGGAGGCAGAGGCAGCCAAGTGTTCTGGAGCTCCGTGTTGCCTCCCTGGTCAGGTGGTTACCCCATTTCTGAGAGGTGATGTCTGTGTTTGTTTTATTATCCTTGCACTCTTTCCTCGTCTGTGGATGTTTGGACTCAGGCACTTCTTGAAACTCTGAATGTTGGTGGTTTCTAATGATAATAACCTTTCACTCCTTCAGAGGCATCTGGGCTAGGGTGGGAAGTTAATTCAAAACAAATGAGAGTGTGTCCATGCTAAGCTAATATGTGCATTTTGACTCCTTCCTACAGTATGGAGTACAAGTGTGTCTTCATAATAAAGAATATGAAAGTGTCCCCATCTGTCCCCAGTCTTTCTTCTATGCTAGTACTAACTCTGAGATCTGTGTCATACGAAAGATGACCTCTTGACACCATGCACCTGGTTGATTGTCAGAATGGCTCCTTACTTGTAAGAGGAATTCTCTGGCACGTAACGATGTACGTGAGAGCTCACTGTGTAGCAGGAGCAGCTATGACTCGGAGTGAACATTTCTGAAATATGCCTTTGTCTGAAAGAAACATAAACAATAAAAATATGAGCCAGCATTGGAAAACAGAACTGTTTCTCTGTAGCTTTTTGGCTTTACCTCTGGAGAGTATGTCGCAAGCGACTACATTCTTTTTTTATTACTTTATAAATAATACCAATAAAATTTCCACTTCCTCCCCTCCTCCCACTTTCCTCCCATTCCCCCCACCCCCTTTCACCCACCCCTCTCCAGTCCTAAGAGAGGGCAAGGTACCCTGCCCTGTGGGGAGTCCAAGGCCCTTCCCCCTACATCCAGACTTAGGAAGGTATGCATCCAAAGAGAATAGGCTCCCTGAACTGGCCTTGTCCCATAGTCAGACTGATGACTATCTTAAATATCACTATAGAACCTTTGTCTGGTGATGGATGGAGACAGAGACAGAGACCCACATTGGAGCACTGGACTGAGCTCCCAAGGTCCAGTTGAAGAGTGGAAGGAGGGAGCATATGAGCAAGGAAGTCAGGACCACCAGTGGTTGGTCCACCCACTGAGATAGTGTGCCTAAGCTTATGGGAGCTCACCAACTCCAGCTGGACTGGGACTGAACGAGCATGGGATCAAAGTGGACCCTCTGAATGTGGCTGACAATTGGGCACTGGGATTTGGGACTACATTCTTGCTGTTGGTTTTGTGTCCAGCCCCCATGAGGACACTCCTCCAGTTTTCACTCTGCCTATTCCCGCTTCCTGAGAGCTAGATGGCAAACAAGCAACATCCTTGTCCCGGGGAATGTGCTTCTGACACCTTTCTACGTCTCTGAAGAATGTTCTCGAAAGATACTGTTGATTTACTAGAGTGGTTTATCTTCTCTCTCATCCCTGGGATTTGATCTGCCTCAGTTGGTTTGTTCTGATTCTGTGTTGTGTGGGGGGGGGGCGGGAATATTGACAGATATCAGTGCCAATAAAACCCTTTATGTCTAGTTTTAGGCAACTAAGAGGGATAGAAGGAATACTCCTAGGCCCAGCTGGAGTCTGTTCTATCCATTTTGTGCTTCTTGTTGGTGATGTAGCATCTTTAAAAACACTACTGGGGTTTTCCATTCAAGGCTGTACTTCTGCAGAGTGTCTGCACACACAGTAGCCACACAATTCTTTAAGGCGAACACAGCGCAGAACTAATGGGCAAATATTTAAGAAATACTAACTTAAAATTAGGAATTTGATTCAGGAGCTAACCTAGCAAGCCTGAAATGCGAATTTAATCTCCTGAACCCCCCCACCCCCAAGGTGAAAGGAAAGAACCAACTCGACAGACCTGTCCTCTGTCTTCCACACTAGGCCAGGGCACACACATTGTAACAGTGATAACAACTAAAACTTAAACACTGTAGATGCTTTTAAATCTGCTCATCACTTCTGTATTTAAATCCCAATATGTAATGCCTGTTAATCACTAGGAAGCTTTGCTCAGAATGTGCACTGTTGGGTCATGTTGAGGTATCCTTCCTTCAAGAGAATAGTCGATAAAGTTAGGAGCACATGAACACAAGCCCAAGTGGCATTAACAGTTTTGATTTGGAGGACAACAGTTTTTAAAGTGCTTCCTACCTGCTGTGGTTTAGGAAGTTTATATAATACAGGGGGCATAAATTTATATAAAGGAGCCAGCAACAGCATCACCACAGGGAAGAATTACACAAAGCCAAAGTGCCCCCCCTATTGTTTATCTATATCAATCTGTCTAGTGGTTTGGTTTTTTTAAAAGCAAAATTGATGTGGCTGGGTAGGGTAATAGGTCCACAGTACTGATTATTTTAAAAATCAACTTTTGAGCCCACATAGATGTAGCAGGTGGATTATGTATACAGCAGTGAGGTATGTCATTTGTCAAAAAGAAGACATTTAGGACAGGATTTGAAATAGCAGGACTCCCAAATGGCAAGAGTTGGGATTTGCTTTTGATTTAATTCTGAGTGGTACTGACTAATATAAATATCAAAATAATTATATTGGCCGCAATGAATTTTGTATAAAAGTGGAGATGTGGATCGCTCTGTATGAATTAAATGTCTTTAACTGTAAGCAAGTTCAGACACAGATCTTTATGCACAGATACATGGGTATTGAATTTACTTGGAAATAATTATTAATAAAAGGGGTTATTTTTAAGTGCTTCTTTAAAGACATAAACATAAACAAATTAGATTTAATGAACATTGACATAAGACTGGCTATACTAAGTAGTTAAATTCTGACAAAAAAAAGTGTAAGTAATCTTAAACACTTTTTAAAGTATTAAATTTTTGCAAATGCTGAGAGAAGATTAATATCTTACAGGAACTCACTGTTTTAGAATGTGTGGATGTGCTTAATTCTGACTAAGGACCCAGCAACATTGTGGGAGCACAATGCACTCTGACTAAGGACCGAGCAACATTGTGGGAGCACGGTGCCCTCTGGCTAAGGAGTCCAGTAATGGCAGTGGCAGACCTTGTACATCCACTTTTCCAACTTGTGACTCAGATCAGCTTCCTGCTTTAGCCCTCATATTTTCTTCTTTCTTTTTCTTTTTTTTTAAATTTTTTTTAAATTTATTTATTTACTATACAGAATGTTTATATACAATATTCTGTCTGTGTGTCTGCCTGCAGGCCAGAAGAGGGCACCAGACCTCATTACAGATGGTTGTGAGCCGCCATGTGGTTGCTGGGAATTGAACTCAGGACCTTTGGAAGAGCAGGCAATGCTCTTAACCTCTGAGCCATCTCTCCAGCCCTTCTTCTTTCTTTTTCATTTTGGAAAATGTAGTCATTTTATCCAGGGCAAAATAATTTTACCATACAAAATCCTCCAGTATCTAAAATATTCCCTTTCATTGAGCATGGTGGCACATACCTTTAATCTCAGCACTGGGCAGAGGCAGGTGGGTCTCTGTGAGTTTGAGGTCAGCCTGGTCTACATAGTTCAGAACACCTATGTAGCTATGTAAAGAGACCCTATCTTAGAAAATAAATAATGCAAACAAAATATTGTCCTTTCTATTTTTCCTGACAAAAAAAAATTCTCTTACTTTTTAAAAAAAATAGTTTCATGTTTCTGTGGAGAAGGGCACCACTGAGCCACTCTTGCCTCTGTGGGTCAGGTGGTATTGCTGCTGCTGCAGGGAGAAGATGGCTGGACGTGAGCATGGCTCAGCACCTGCCCTGCCTGGGGACTGTCATTTGGAAAATGGATCTGCTGGGACTGCGAAGGGCCCATGAGGCACAACAGTCGGGTCTTCCACGGGATGGATAAGGAGTGGGGAGGCCAGTGTGGACTACGGATCCATTGTCGTAGGGCAGGTGCAGCTGAGGCAGGGACGAGCCCTGCTATGAAGGCCCTAACTGAGCCAGGCGGGGTGAGCACATGGCAAGCGGCCAGACCCCAGGTTCCTCCTAGTGCGGGGCTTCTCAACTCTCCTAATGCTGTGACCTTCATACTGTTCTTCACGCTGTGGTGACCCCAAACCATAAAATTAATTTTGTTGTTAGTTCTTAACTGTAATTTTGCTACTGTTATGAATCATAATGTAAACATCTGATATTTCCGGTGATGTTAGGAGACCCCCATGAAAGGGTCATGCAGTATGTCTGGGGTCGTGACCCAGAGTTTGAGAACCACTGTCCTAGCA